CAGCTCTGGCTGCAAGGTCTCTAATGCAGCCCAGCTCCAGGAGATCCCAGCCCCAACCCAGTGTCTCTTGTTCAGCTCAGTCCTATGGATCTTACCTAATTCCAGCCCCACACTCAAGTGTTTCAGCTTATTCCCACAAACTGTACTTTCCAACTCCAGGAGATTCATTGCAAACCAGCCCTCTTATCCCACCTCCACCCAAGATCCCAGCCCTCAGTGCTTTCACCTCATTCCCACAAGCTTTATTCTCCAGCTCCAGCACTCTCATTTCAGCACACATCTGGTTCAAGGTCTGTATTTCAGGCCTGCTCCAGGATATCCCAGGCCTCAGTGATTTCAGGTCATTCCCACAAGCTTTATTCCCTACACCATATACAGTGATTGAGCACCGGCTCTGCCTCAGGCGAGCTCCAGCTCCACCGCATCCAATTCCTCCCGAGCCCATATCCCAGCTCCAGTCCCGCGGGTACGCTGCTACCGCCAGCGCTGGGCCTCGGGCGAGGCCGGAAAACAGCGCCCGGCCGCTACGCCTCAGCTGGCTCTGCTCCACTCGGGCCCGGCCGGCCCCCGGCGCCGCGGCCTAGCTCCGAGCTCCTCCCCCAGCACCGCCCTCAGGCCCCGCTCGGGGGCTGACACCGTCTCTCGGCAGCGCCAGTCCCGCATCAAATGCGCCGGCAGCCCCCGACCGACGGGGAGAGTCGGGGATCGTTGACAGCAACCCCCGCCAGAGAGCGGCCTCGTCCCACCTCAGCACGCAAACTTCTCCGTCCACACCGCGTTCACACCACAGCTCAACAACACTATCTTTATTATTGACCTCCCCCACCCCTCCAAAGCCGCGATCCCCCCGAATCGCCATCGCCTCGCACACCACCCGCGGCACTGAGCACCGGCCCGACTACACACAGCGGGCAGAGGCAGGGGTCCCTCCGCCCCACTCCCTGCGCCTCCTCCCGCTCACCGGCACGCCTCGCCCCTCCGCTCCGCCTCCGCTGCTCCGCCCCTCCGTCTCCGAGCCATCGCCCCTCAGCGCTCGCTTTTTATAGCCTCTGGGCGCCCTGTCCAGCCAATCACGCCCCGCCCCTTCCCGCCTCGCCCGTCTTCTCTCCACCCATCAAGCCCCGCCCGTTTCAAACCCTTCCGTTCCCGCTCCTCCCAATCCCGGCCCGCCCTTTCAATCCGGCCCCGCCCCCTCTCTGTTTCGCCCAACCCCGGCCCGCCTCTTCAATCCGGCTCGCTCTTCCCTCTGTTTCGCCCAATCCCGGCCCGCCCTTTCAATCCGGCCCCGCCCCCTCTCTGTTTCGCCCAACCCCGGCCCGCCTCTTCAATCCGGCTCGCTCTTCCCTCTGTTTCGCTCAATCCCGCCCCGCCCCTTTCCTCCGGCGCTCCCCGGGTGTGGCGGTTTGAAGGGGCACCCGGAGCGGCCTCTGCGGAGCGCCCGGTCGTCCTCCCCGGAACTCAGCACCCACTGTGGGTCCTGCGGGACGCGCCCCCTGAGGCTCCAAGGATGTGCGGTGGGACCGGGAGTGGGGAAGGCGAATTGAAGGGGCGGGCCGGCACTGGGAGAAACGGAGAGGGGGCGGAGCCGGATTGAAGAGACGGACCAGGATTGGTAGGAACGGAGACGGGAGGGTCTGAAGCGGGCGGGGGGGGAAGGAGCGGGGCGTGATTGGCTGGGTAGGGGAAGGCGGGATGGGGGCGGAGGCTATAAAAGGGGAGCTCTGAAAGGGAGCAACTGTTGGGTGCGGGGCAGTGGGGTGCCGGTGCCTTTGCCCGCTGTGTATGCACGGGTCGGCTCTCTTTCCGCGGGTAGCGTCCGAGGCGGCACTGGAAGCGGTTCGGGGGCATGGCGGTCTGGGGTAGGGAGCGCTGTACAGGGCAGGGTCAATAATAAAGCTGATGCTGTTGAGCTGTGTGTTGACACCTTGCACGGTGTGTACGGAGCCATCTGTGTGCTCAGGCGTACACGTGCTCCGTCGTTTCCCCTGAGCCGGGCGGTGGCACCGGGGGGTGGTTTCAGCCCTGAGCGGGGATTGAGGGGTGTGCTTGGAACTGAGCCGCGGCACCGGGGACCGGCCGGGGTAAGGGGCGGGCCCAGGCGCGGCAGCCCCAGCCCCAGCTGAGGCACAGTAACCGAGCTCTAGGTTTCCCACCTTGCACAAAGCCCAGCGCTGCCGGGCTCGGGCGGAGACAGCCGCGGGGCTGGAGCCAGGATAACGGCTCGGGATGAACTGGATGCGGTGGGGCTGGAACTGACCTGATGCAGAGCTGGAGCTGAATAATTGAGCATGGGGCTGAGAATACAGGTTGTGGGAATGACCTGAAGTCAGTCGGGGCTGGGAACTCGTCTGAGGCTGGAATACAGAGCCGGAGCAAAGACATGACACAGCCGGGCTGGAATGAAACCTCTGCAGCTGGAAAAGAAAGCTTGTGGGAAGGAGCTGAAATCTGTCAGGGCTGGGATCTTGGCTGGAGCTGGAATAGAGAAACAGGTCCCTGCTCCGGGGACGCTGCCAGTTTTCCCCCAGGAAGCGGGTCCCGTGCGCGGCAGCTCAGAGGGAAGCGCAGTTGGAGCCGCTCTCCCCCTTGGAGAGGAGCGGGGAGCTCAGCACAGCCCCGGAGCATCCCTCCCATGGGCCGAGCACGCCCAGAGCAGCTTGTGGCCAGCTCTGCCCCGTGCCTGCTGTGGAGACCCACAGCACTGGCTGACCTGTAACTAGAGAAGAGCTCCTGAAGCTGCTCCTGGCAGCGAGTGTCTGTATGTAGCGCTGCTTCCTGCCTCCAGAGGCTGGGAAAAGCACGCTTTTGGGTGGCACAACCCCAACGCTTCTTCTTGCCATTACTGACAGCCCCCAGCCGTGAGTGCTGAGCCTGATGGGTTGATGGGCAGCACTCAGCACCCAATTCCCTCACCCCAGCCCCACCAGGGACACATTTCCTTACCCCTTTAACCCACGGTACCCCGTGGGGACGGGGCTGTACCGGTGCTGTGGAGCTACAGGGCCACCCCGGCCACGCTCCCTAACGCCCCTCACCCGGGCTTGGGGCGGCCGCTATCGGCTCCACCCCGCAGCGCTCGGGGAGGGGCGGGCCGAGCGCGTTGCTTTCCTCCTCCGGGGGAGCTGTTCCGGGTCGCGGAGGCGGGATCCGCGGTGGTACCGGCGATATGGTGGGGCTGGGGGCCGGCGGGAGGTGTGGGGCGCGGTGAGGCCGCGGCGGGCTCTGACTGCACTTCCCTTCCGTAGCGGTTCCGGTTCTGCGGGGACCTGGACTGCCCGGACTGGGTCCTGGCCGAGATCAGCACCCTGGCCAAAATCGTTAAGTGCCCGCTCCCCCCGGACTCTGCCCGCTCCCGTCCCGCCGAGCCCGCTGCTCACCCCCCCTCTTGTCCTTCTCTTCCTCCTCCCGCAGTCCTCGGTGAAGCTGAAGCTGATCTGTGCCCAAGTGCTGCGGGACCTGCTGGGCGGGAGCATGGAGGTGAGTGACGGGGAGACACCGCTGGTGTGCTTGCTCCAAACGGCACCTCCGCGGCGGGTGCTGCCGGCCAGTACTGCCAGTAGTGACTTGGGTAGTGAGTAGTAATCCTAAGGTGAGCATTCCACTAGCATATAGAATCGTATTCCTGAGGTACCCATCCATTCTAGTGGATGGGTACATCCATTCTAGTTGGAACTGGATGAGCCTTAAGGTCCTTTCCAACCAAACCAGTCTGTGATTGTACGATTGCTGGTGTTGGCTGTGGTGCTGTGCAGTACCTCGTGCTCACTACGATAGCCTCACATGCTGCTCTCCCACAGTATGAGAAGATCCTGAAGCTGACCTCAGATGCCAAGTTAGGTGAGCACTGCTGCCCTGGACCCTACCGCAGCTCCATCCCTAGGGACGGGCAGTGATGTGGCTGGGGCTGCAGAGCTGACCCTTCCCCATGCAGAGTCGGGGGATGTGAAGGCCACCATCGCTGTCCTCGGCTTCATCCTCTCCAGTGCTGCCAAGCACGGTGTGGACAGCGAGTCCCTGTCCAGTGAGCTGCAGCAGCTGGGGCTGCCCAAAGGTAGGGGCGACCCTGGGGGTGTCACCGTGGTCGGGTCGGTGCCATCGGACAGTTTTGTTGTGCCCTGGCAGAACACGCCAGCGGGCTGTGCCGGTCCTACGAGGAGAAGCAGAGCTCCCTCCAGGACAGCCTGAGGGCTGCCAGTCTGAGATGTGAGTGTGCCATGGTCTCAAGGGGATGTACTGGGTCTTGGGGAGGGTCTTTGTTCTCTGGGGTCAGGGGGGTTTGGGTCTTGAGTGGCATGGCTTGGGTCACACAGTGATGGTGTTGGGTCTCAGGGTGGGGTGTTTGGGATCAGGGATGGGCTGTTTGGGATCGGGGTGTGTGTGTGTGATGCTGCCCCATTGCCTGCCGCAGTGAGCCGGCTGGGCTCGGTGTGCTGGCGTGTGGATTACACCCTCAGCTCCAGCGAGCTGCAGGAGGTCCATGAGCCCCTCGTGCACTTGACGTTCACCGTGCGGGATGGGCAGCGCGGGAGCACAGAGGCTGTGCCCATGGCGGTGTCGGCCGACAAGTTCCGGGTGCTGCTGGCAGGTGAGGCCGCAGGAGGGGAGGTGGCAGCAGGGGTGGGGGACACCGCGGGGCCGGAGCGGCTCCCCCACGGCCTGCTCCGTGTCTCCGCAGAGCTGAAGCAGGCGCAGGCGCTGATGAACACGCTGAGCTGAGCCGGGCGAGAGGTCCCGGTGCGCTCGGAGCCAGCTCCAATAAAGGTGTCTATGACAGACGCGCTTTGGTGTCGCTACTCCTCCGGTGGACTACAACTCCCGACATGCACCGCGGCCCGTTGCATGGGCTGCAAGGCTGGACTACAACTTCCGGCGTGCACCGCGGGCCGTGCAGCCAATGGGGAGCGAGGGGCGGGGCATAGTTGGGGGTGTGTCCCCAGGGGCAGTGCTTTCGGCCGGTGCGTCCGGTCCCTGTGGCTCGCTGGGTCCGGTCTCTCCGGTGCGTCCGGTCCTGCGGCCATGCCCGAGTGCCCGGAGCTGCACCTGGCCGGGCGCTACATCAACGAGGCGTGCGGCGCGCTGGTGTTCTCGGGCGGCGTGGAGCGCTCGGCGGTGGGCAGGGGCCCGGAGGTGCCGTTCAGCAGCGAGGCTTACCGCATCTCTGCCACCGCCCGGGGCAAGGAGCTGCGCCTGACGCTGACCCCGCTGGGCTCCGCCGGTGCCCCCCAGGAGCTGGTTTTCCGCTTCGGCATGTCGGGCTCGTTCCGGCTGTGCCCCGCCGCCCAGCTCCCGCGCCATGCTCACCTCCGGTTCCGCACCCGCGACAGCCCCCCGCGGGTCCTCTGCTTCATCGATGCTCGCCGCTTCGGGTCGTGGCGCCTGGGGGACGCCTGGCAGGAGGGCCGCGGGCCCTGCGTCCTCTCCGAGTACCAGGCCTTCAGGTGAGCATCCAGCAGGCACGGGGAGAGCCCCCAGCTCGGCTTCAGCTGAGGTGAGCGTCCTGATGCGCTCCCCCGCAGGGAGAACGTGCTGAAGAACCTGGAGGACAAAGCTTTTGACAAGCCCATCTGTGAGGCCCTCTTAAACCAGAAGTTTTTCAATGGAATTGGGAATTATCTCCGTGCTGAGATCCTGTACAGGTAAGATGGGGGGAGAGGCTTCGGCAGCAGGAGTTTGGCAGAGTTTTAGTGGTGGCTTCTCACCTGGTAGAGAGGGGCAAGTGCCAGAACTGAGGGCTGAGGTCCTCTGAAGAGGGAC